TATATTTTGTCAGAACAATTTTTCTTTTAACGGATTTCGTATAATATCAAATTATGAAAATTTTCAACCTTTGCAAGAAATTGCATTCTAATTGGTTAATATTCAAAGATATTACTGAGATGATAACATTCACGAGATGCTAGGTACTTAATTACGTTACATAACAATACACATTCCAAACAAGAGAAATTTCCAAAAAATATCTAAAATTTATCTAAAAAATATCCTGATTTTTGTCATACTTTTTAATCTTTGCCTTTCGCAGAGAGAGAAACATGTCATTTGGACTTTTTTATATTTTATGAATTATAAGCCCTTATTATAATGTCGATTGAAACAATGCTTTTATCTTAAATCGTTTTCTGTTTCCCGCAATCGTCAGAACTATTGAAAACCATCAAAACCGCTTTTATTAGGATTTTGCTTATACTATTTAAGCGACAGAATCTTGTGTAGCTTCTTTTCGATGTTTCTGGAGACATCTCCATACTATCTTTTTCTCTTATTATCGTGTCAAATGATCTATCTTTATTATTATCCATACTTCAAGTTTTGACAAAATATATGTTCTTCTAAACATCATATTTGTCGAAAAAATTTTCTTCGTTTTTTCTCGCGTGACCTTGTTTATATTGAGCAAAGCAAACCTTGCGTGCAATTACTGGATGATAATATAATTTTCGTTTCTTTTTTAAAATAATGAATGTATTCTATTATTCCACCATATTTTTACGTTTTTTTGGAATATTTTAAGTAAAACAATCAATGTTTCTGGCTTGAGAATTAAAATAAAAAAATAGCATGAAGAGAGTCATTTATTGTTTTAGTTACAATCAAATCATAGAATTTAATTTCATTTAAAATAATGAAAATTAACGCTTATTGTGACGTAACTACAAAAAAGTTTATGTTGTTCATATTTTGAATGGACCAATAACAAGTTTAAATGAAACAATGATTTTCTCTTTAAAATATGAATTTCTCTTAGAAACGAGAAAATGACTTTGTCCGCACTACTAGTAATTGTCATTCAATTAAATGTACGTGGTCTTGTTTTGTCACCAACAACATTAACATGCACACCCGTGCGTCAGACCAAATAAACGGAGCAACCGGCGTTATTGCAGAAAAAATTTATACATATAAATGATTTTTATCCGATATTTGCGATTGTCTTTAACAAGCAGATAACACTGTGCTCCGTATGAAAACCAAAGATGTGTCTATTAATTAATTGATGTACTTACGCAACCTTGACGACTAATTCGAACCGTGTTGAATGTCCACGCATGAACAGAATCTGTCTGTAAAATATTAATTTGCATTTTGCAGATCTTGTAAAATTGAGATTATCCAAAATGAAATATCAATTAGCAAAAGCTGAGTTGCAACATACAAAATGATCTTTTTAACATGTTTATACAAACAACCACAATCATATAAATAATTTGATAAAGAAATATTTAAATAATAAATAATTTTTGCAGCATTTTTGTTGCAGTAAACGTATAAGCTATGCGTGGATAGCCAACATTCTCTGATCTACATACGTTAAATCAATTAATTAACAATAGGAAACGAGCACGCGTACACATTAGTCTTGTGCGTACATACAAATAGAGCCTAGTCACAAATATCGTTAACGAATGAAAAATCGCTTCTATGTTCATGTCATTTTCATTAACGTCCTCCACACAGCACGTGCATTAACACTATTGTTAATGCTTCTATGTTTATTATGGCTATTATTAGTAATATATTTACAATTATTATTATATACTATGTCCATTTTGCTAGTTATACCTCTGTTGCTCTACGTTGATTAATATTATTATTAGAATTATTATTATCCTCTACGATTATGTTATTATTTTATTATTAGTATTATATGTTTATATTACTATAGTACTCTCGTCTGCCAATGATGGTAATATCCCATTGTTGGCATTTATTATTACTATTATATGACCATTATTTCTATTAGTTTTACATGTATTACGAGCACTTTGCGCGATAGCAATCGCGATGATTTGTTACTGTTGCCGATATCGATCGCTCGCTCATTTGTGCCGCAATGACAGACTCTATCAGTTTAGGATCAGAACCAAATCACCTGGTACTCTTATATCTGTTTTTACAAGACATGTGACTCTAATGTGCGTACGAATTATTTCATTCGTTATAAAAAAGAGTCGCGTACCTGTGCGATTAATAAATGGTCAAATCAGGATCATTGATTGAGATGGTTTTGTTTCTAAAAATGAGATATATATATGTCATAATAAGACGGGACAATATATTTATGACGTTAATAATTCATTTGTTTATGTTTGTTTTCACGTTATTCAAAGATTTAATAAACTGCTTGGTGCAAGCTGAATAAAGTAATGAAGCAGAGGAAAGAAATGCATTCACAAGATGTCTTTCTCAGCGTTCGTCTCAATAGTCTCCAATATTTGTAAATGTTGTAACAAAATTTATAAGATACTATTATTTTATTATCATTTATCATAAATATATAATTCTCAT